TTTTAATGGATAATTTTCATGTAAAATTAAGCCAAACGTGAACAAAAAAAATCCAAAATTTCAAATTTTTTCCGGGTGGAAAATTATACCAATCAAACACACTTAATTAACAATTCCCTACAAAACAATTTCTAGGCAATTATTTTCCCTGAAAATCATTTTCTTTCCACCCATTTTCCACCATCGCAATCAAACGCACCCTAAAAGAATATAAAGTAAATATGCAAAAAAATCAAGAAAAAGATAAGAAACATGAGATTTTTCGCCCTATGGCAAGAGGTTCAGAACAAAGTTCCTAATTTCTTTTGGGCTTCCGCCATCTGGAAGAAATCACTATATTATCAAGAATCAAACTCTGTTCAAGGATTACACCGAGCATTCAAACGAATCACACAAGATTACATCAAAGAAGAAGAAACCCTCAAACTGATCGAAACAGCACACCACTCAAAGATGCAATGCTAGCCATTTACAAATAACTTAAGATATATACAAGGACCATAAAAAAATCTAAAAAGGGCTTCCAAATTTAGAGTGCAGAACAGAGATGGCGAGAGAGAGTACAGAGAGAGTTTGAGAGAATGAAAGAATGAACAACCAACTCAAACTCAAACCCTAGTATATGAGAAGTCTCCAGAAGGTCTCCATCCAACGGTCATTGGGGCGACACTTGGCGACATCTCAACCATCCAGCTATAAGTAAAAAAACGTATGGAGTTAAAACACGCTTATAACCAAACAAAACAGAAGCCACCAAGTAATTCGAAATAACAGTCCAACCCAATAACAACAGTCCAACAAGCAAACCAACAAATCAGCCCAATAATACAATCAGGTTCAATAAGCTCATCATTGTGCCATTTCTCTACATTTTCAAAATATATTTTTTTCTATTTTATTTTCAATTATATATTCTTTAATAAAATAATATACACGAAAATTTAAAAATTTTTCTTATTTTTTAACCACACATTCTCCATCAAAATACTATTCCAAAATACATTTACATCAAAAAAAATGGGAATCAAACGGGCTCATAATATAATCAATCGTGCTCTGTGTACACTAAGTTTATATCATCATTTACATTCTTCCACGTGGATATCATCATCTTCTTCTTCGATATTTCCAACATTTTTCAGATCATTGTCCAGATTGTACTACATAAGGGGATTGTCAACCATAATGTACACCTACATGTACATATAGCATTTTCCTAATATAATGGATTTTGTTGTTTGTATATTCGGAATTGACACCTCCAAATGACAACCCTCTCACATGAATACAAACCATGGATGTGAAAGTAGCAAAACTCTAATATAATTGCTGAAAAAGGACAAGCTTACCATGACAAGCGTGGATCAATCTTTTGGGGAAATGGAGAAGAATAGTATCTCTGATGGATATTATTGAGAAAAAAATGTATTTTAAATAGTGATATGATTGGAAATATATGGTTAAAAAGTAAGGAAAAGTTATTGATGTGATGGAAAATATTATTTTATTGAAAAATGTATGGTTAAAAATGTATTTTGAAAGAATGTGTACCAAACAGTGGCTTAATTTATGGTTAAAAATGTATTTTGAAAGAATGTGTACCAAACAATGACTTAATTTACCTATTTTTGTTTTTTGTTTTCGACTTTTATTTGTTAAAAGGGCGATGTTCACGACGTTCTATTTTTAGGTTCGAATAGTATCTACACTCTGAGTAAACTCATATCCTATCCTCAGGATTGCTCATTTATTTTCCAAAGGTCACAACTAAAAGTAGTTCTTCTTTAATTTTTCAATTATATTTTGTTTGGATTAAATGGTTCACGGGTCACTCAACTTTTAGTCGAGGTTTTCCAATATTGGCTTTTTTAGCAAATTTAGTCATTCTTCCCCTTTCCAACGAATCTATTAGATTGATATCTACGTTAAAACCTTATAGATGATAGAATAATTCTTCATTACGAGGGCACATAGGCCCTAGTAATAGCTCGAGATAGGTAGGGGGAGATCCACCTTCACTAGTTGGCCTCCCGGCATTCTTAGGGCCTATGTGTAACACGACTTCATTATTTTCTTGAAGGATTAAGTTCAAGGAATCAGTTACTTTCAACTAAAAGAATATAAAGTAAATATGCAAAAAATATCAAGAAAAAGATAAGAAACACGAGATTTTTCGCCCTATAGCAAGAGGTTCAAAACAAAGTTCCTAATTCCATTTTGAGCTTCCGTCAACTGGAATAAATTACTATATTATCAAGAATCAAACTCTGTTTAATGATTACACCAGTCACTCAGACGAATTACACAAGATTACATCAAAGAAAAAGAAACCCTCAAACTGATCGAAACAGCAAACCACTCAATGATGCAATACTAACATTTTACAAATCACTCAAGATATATAAAAGGACTATACAAAAATTTAAAGAAGACTTCCAAATTTAGAATGCAGAACAGAGACGGCAAGAGAGAGTTCGAGAGAATGAAAGAATGAACAGACAACTCAAACTCGAACCCTAGTATATAAGAAGTCTCCAGAAGGTCTCCATCCAACAGTCATTGGGGCGACACTTTGCGACATCTCAATCGTCCATCTGTAAGTAAAAAAACGTATGGAGTTAAAACATGCTTATAACCAAACAGAACAGAAGCCACCAAGTAATTTGAAATAACAGTCCAGCGCAATAACAACAGTCCAACAAGCAAACTAACAGATAAGCCCAATAATACAATCAGGTCCAATAAGCTCATCATTGTGCTATTTCTCTACATTTTCAAAATATATTGTTTTCTATTTTATTTTCAATTATATATTCTT